ACAACAATTTCACAGCGCCTGAAGGTTCTGGATAAAGTCATGCACTTGGCTCGTAAATAAAGCCAAAAGCCTATCTTCAAGGCCCTGCCCACAACGGGCTCAAAGTCGACCGGAAAAGCTGGGAAATCGGGCTGGTATCGGGGGCGAAATCGGGGGCGAAATCGGGGAAAAACAGAGGGGCCAAGTCAACGCCCAGCCAGTTTTTCACTTGGAAAAACTTAATTATGCATGGTTAACACGAAAACTCAATAAATTTTCAAATAAATTCACATGGGCCGAGGCACAAGAAGAGAAATCGAAAAAAGTCCGCCTGGCCTTTTGGCCCATGTAAATTTTATTTGCCAAAGGATTTTTCACCAAGTTTCCTGGCTCTGTTGCATTTAGATTTATTCGCAACGTGTGTGCTATGTAAAACCTATTAGGGGCCACTCCAGACCACACCACCAACTCCACCCACTCAACTGTTGCGCAAGCAAGGACTCGAATCCCAGGACTCGGGACTCGGAAGAGAGTCCTGGCACCTTCGCAAACTAATCGCCTGTTGAAAATGCGCCGCACTGTGCGAGTTAGAATTTATTGAGTTCTCATATTGAGCAATGCTATAAAAATAATGAAGCCAGGACCGAAAGGTAGGTGGCTAGGATGCCAGGATGGCAGGATGGCAGGATTCCGAGGAGCGCCTGCTGGCTGCGCTACACTCGGATGGGTGGCACTGGCACAGGATCAAGCCAGATAAGGTTGCCAGGACTTCAGAGCCCAGATGAGTAACTCAGGTGTCAACTTAGATGTGAAAAATGTATTTTATTGCGAAAATATATATATTTACTCCGCTTTACTCCAGTAGGAGCTGAAAATGTATCTTTAAGATACATTTTAGAATGTACGTTGAGCAAAGCTAGGAATCAATTAAAATGAAATAAAGTTTCGAAAATTCTGAAGAAATGTAGCACTTTAAAGGCTTAGGGATCTTTAAACTTAAATGAAATCTAGTTTATATCAAATTTAAATAATAGGCCACACAAAATTTCATTTCAGCAGAGTTGCATATCATTTTGAGTTGCATTTTGCACCAAGTGAAACCCTACACCGAAACTCCCGATCCTCAACCGTAGGGTCACGTTTTGTCGTCGACAGTTGGCTTAGTCGAAAGCCAAAAGCCCACGCAGCTTAGTGTGTCCTGCGAAGGACACCCGCCCAATGGGTTGGGTGAGCTGAAAGGGGGCTGAAAGAGGGCTGAAAGGGGGAAGGGGACTCTGCAACTGCTGTGAATACTTGGGCAGAAGTGGCAGGAGCAGTGGCAAAAAGTGAAATGAAGCCGAAAGGCAAATAGAGCATAAATTACGCAAATCCAACACGACACTTTACAGCGTCGACTGCGGCAGAGGCAGCATCCTGTCAGTGTGTGTGTGTGTGTGTGTGTGTAGGTGAGCACATGTGTGGGTGTGTGCTACTACAACAACAACTGCAACAATAATAACAGTAACAGCAACAGGAAGAGCAACAAATAAGTTAAGTCAAAGTCGAAAAAGCAAACAAACATTGCACACGACGGAGATGGCAGCACTTACACACACATCGAGGGACACCCATTGCAGTTTTCCCACTTCCGCACGCTGAAAAGTACACTGGCAGAAAGAAGAAGTTTCCTAAAAATTACCAGGTTCTCTTTGTATCATCAAAATTAGCACAAAAATAGAATTCCTATTGATCACAGTTCGATTGGGAATTGACATACGAACTCAACGAGGTGTAGCATTCCATATTTAGACAATTATTTTTAAAGTTGTGGCCAAAATACTGATTATTTTATGTTGGACAATCGGAAAAACGACTTTTGCCAAATATTCGGTATTTCCAATGTGAGTTTTAATCATAACTTCCATAAAAATGATCACAAAGATGAAAGAATAACAGTTTTGAGCAGCTAATTACCAACGCAAACCATCCCTATCACTTTTTGATGGATTTGGAAAAATTAAATTTTTTTGTTTTTTTTGTCATTTTTTTAAGGTCTAACATCATCAAAATTTGCAAAAAATATAAAAAAAAATAGAATTCCCATTTTTTAGCACAGTTCGTTTGGGAATTTAAATACGAGTTCAACGATGTATAACATTTCATATTCAGACAATTATTTTTATAGTTGTGGCCAAAAAACTGATTATTTTATGTAGGAAAATCGGAAAAACCACTTTTGCCAAATATTCGATATTTCGAATGGGAGTTTTCATCATAACTTCCATAAAAATGATTACAAAGATGAAAGAATAACAGTTTTGAGCAGCTAATTACCAACGCAAACCATCCCTATCACTTTTTGATGGATTTGGAAAAATTAAATTTTTTTGTTTTTTTTGTCATTTTTTTAAGGTCTAACATCATCAAAATTTGCAAAAAATATCAAAAAAAATGGAATTCTTATTTTTCAACACAGTTCGATTGGGAATTTGAATACGAACTCAACGATGTATGACATTCCATATTCAGACAATTATTTTTAAAGTTGTGGCCAAAATACTGATTATTTTTTGTCGGAAAATCGGAAAAACGACTTTTGCCAAATATTCGGTATTTCCAATGGTAGTTTTCATCATAACTTCCATAAAAATGATCACAAAGATGAAAGAATAACAGTTAATTACCAACGCAAACCATCCCCATCACTTTTTGATTTGTATCATGATACTTATCCGAATAATACTTTGATGCAATCTAAGGACAATGCAACCTCCCCTGGATTTCTCTCAGTGCAGAGTGCAACTCGCACTGGGCAAGAGTGGGGCATGCAATCAGGCGCCAAATGCTCATGTGTCTCATTGTCAGCATGTTGCATGTGCAGCAGGGGGCGGCGAGGGGCAAGGAGGCGAGTGGCCGGGCAAAATAAAGTAAAATGAACAGCAGCAAAAATGTTAAAGCAAGTAAATAAACATTGTACGCCATTATCAGGCACTGTCAGCAGCAACAGCAGCAACAGCAGCAACTGCAGCAACTGCAGCAACAGTGGCAACAATCAACAGCACCAGGCAACATAATTTGCAGTTGCAACTGAGAACTTTTCATTGGCTTGAAGCTGAAAAAGCTGACAGGACCTCCTGCCCTCAGCACAAAGCAAAAAAAAACAGAAGTGGGCGAAAAGCAGAGGCAACAGTGCATGGCAGGCACAGTGGGGATTGCCTATTGCCTAATTTCAGGAGGCCTCAGATGGGCAGCACTTCCTAACATCAAATACCCTCTCAGTTCATATTGATACTCGAATGATTGATAATGAACGCTTGTGCTCATTTCCTCAGCTGCGGAGTTCTCATGTTTCCGTGCATTGGCTTACTTCGGTCTGATTCCACTGTCCGAGTAAAAGTCCATTGCCTGGCATAAAGCCCGGATATGCCGGCGAACTCGATACTGCGCCTGTGTGTGTGTGTGTGTGCATGTGTGTGTGTGCATGTGTGTGTGGGCCTGAATGTGTGTGTGCATGCAGCATGGTTGAACAGTCAATGGCGGTGTAGCCGAAAAGGCCGGAAGTGCAGTCGAGCAACAACGATAGCATGCATGCATGTGTGTGCGTGTCGCAGCGAGTGGGTGTGCGTGCGTGTGTGTGTGTGAGGCGGCTAAACAAAAGTGGCACAACAAGCTGAACTTGTGAGCGGAGTGGGAGTGCCGAAAAACGAAAAGAAAAGCCAACACAAGTTGACATAGAAATTGTACAAACTGAAAATGATTTGTGTGCCCCCTGTGCCACACAGACACACACACGCACACGCACACACACACACACACACAAGAAACACACATGTGTATTGCACAACGGTGGGTCGATTTATAGAAAAGCCAAATAAAACAAAAAAACCGAAAACGAAATGGACTCCTTTTCAGTACGAAGTCTTTAAGCCTAAAATAGTTGCAAATACCTAAGGTTATTATTTTTTCAGTCAATCGGTAAGCAACCAAATGTCCACCAACTTGTAGTTCTTAGATATTTCTGGTGCGATCCTCCGCTTAAACTATAAACCTAGTTGGTCGCCAAAGTGCGTCCGACTTCAAAGTAAAACCGCTGTGCTCCGGAACCCGCCGCCAGCCACTGTGGGATCCAGGCATCCAGCTGCCTGTCCTGCCAACCAATGAGCCACCAGCGAGACAGGCAGCCAGCCGCTGGGCAGCCAGGGGGCGTGGCAGGTGGACAGGACAGGATACCTCGGCGAGGGTAGGAATAGGAGGCGTTGGCAGACCGTTGAAATTGCAAATTATGCTTTTGGGGGGAGCAGGACGACGAGGGGGAGCAGCAGGAGGAGCAGGAGATGGAGGAGCAACTGAATCGGCGACGGGGAGTCCACTGTCTGCGCTCTAATTATGCAAACTACCTGCTGTTACTCAATTAATCTTGATTACGTTTGTGTTATCCAAATACAATTATTTTGGTATTAATTACAGTGGCCAGGAGCCAACAGCCACTGCCCGAAATGGCCAGACCAGTCGGAGGACCACTTTTACGAGCGGAAATTGTGTGGGTCGCCGGGTGAGGCAATGTGGAGCACCGCCCATCGCTAGAAAATGCACACCACGCATTGCGGCAAGTGTTTTAGTCCAATTTTTGCCGGCATTTTGGGAAAATTCGCATTTCCATTCTGATTCCACTGGCATTCGTATGCCACTCGCATTTGTCGCGACTCCTCCGACACTTCTAAGGAGCACAAATGTCGGCCGGTAGGTGGTCAAACATACTAATTAGCCCCAGGAAACGATTTATTGAAATGCCTGTGCTCCACACAAAAATGTTGGGTGTGAGTCGCATGGAGCGATGACCTTAATTAGCAGCCTGCAAAAATGAGAGTTAAGTGCCCTTATGCGATGAAGTGGACTTTGGGATAAGTCAATGAATAATGGTGAAGCTAATGGTGAAGTGGCTACTCAACCGCCAACCAGCACTTAATATAGGGAAAAGCACCAGCTATACCAGAATATTATCACATTTAAGGAAACACGGTCAGAAGTTACTGAATCTCAATCGGAAATATTGTATGCAACTCCCATGATTTGGGTCGCAATATCAGCACAAAAATATGGCCACAAAATCAACATAGTAGTTTTCTCAGATGTCATAGATAGTAAATTCGACGATCTGGCGCAAGCGATGGCGCGCCGTGCCCGCGATCACTTTCCTCACATCTTGGAGCTTCAGCTTGGGTGGCCGCCTGGAGCGGATCAAAGTGGACACGACCACGGGCGGCTTGGACCGGCGATGGCCCTGCGACTGCGCAATGGAATGGCTCACCTTACGGAGCAAGTTTTTCAACTGTGCGTTGATGAGGCTCAGATGTGACAAGACGGCCAGCCGATGCTTTCCTGTTAGCGAAATGGGGGAAATGGGGGAAATGGAGAGTGGGCAGTGGTCCCCCGAAACAGACCGATCCTCCTGCTGCTCTTCCACTTCGGCAATGTCCCAATCACCCTCCGGCGTCTGAGTTCCCACATTCCTACGGGCATACCTTTTTGAGAGTTCCGCCGACTTGTTCGTCCTCTTATTGGGCAAGCCCTCCTTCCAAGAATTTCCGCGCAATTTCTTCTCCAATTCCATGTCCTTGCTCGAATTCCGGTTCTCGCCAGCATTTACTTTCGATTTGTCCATAGTGTTTAAAGCTGACAGGATGACTTCATCGCTAATCATCCGTTGGTTAAATACAATTTTGGTAGGAGCTCGTATGAAACAAGTAGAAATAGTACGATTTTGTTTGGTCAAGACGCGATGCAATAGTGAAAATTCTCCTACGAACAGCTGATTAAGTGGAGATAAAAATCAGGGCATACTTAGATACAAAATCATGTGGCCGTATTGTGTACAAAATTCGAATAAGACCAACGCCATTGCAAAATGTTACTGAAATATTATTTCATAAATTAAATACACATTCTGTTATTAATAATACATATATTATTAATTTCTCTTACCAATATGAATAAGTTACATAATTGTATTTGGATTCGAGGTGCATTCAACTAACATATTCCCAATATGTATTGTTATCAATAGTTAAAAGGAGTCACTTTGGTCCTGCCCAAGTCCTTACAAATAATATTTACATTTTAAAAAATTGCGTTCAGCTTTTTAAGACAAGTGTTGCACAATGCCTTGAAAAGGTGTTACCAGGGTGGGGAAAAAGTTGCGTTAAGCATTGTTATTTATTCTAGATGTTTTCTGTAGTGTTGGTAATCGTTTAAAGCTGTACAGTTATAGTTTTGTAAACAAAGCTGTTTAAGTTTATTTTCAGTGCCTAAAGCAAATAATTTAATGCATTAATGCAACGCTTTAAGCTGGCAACTCTAATTTTCACCATTCAACATACTTATTAGAGATTGCAGTTATTTTCATTACACTTAAGTTTTAATTTGATACCAATATAGTGGCGACCAATAAGATTTTCTGGACCAGCATTGTTGAAGTCCTCGTTGGAGAACAAAGAGTGAAGGTACACCCTGCTGGCCACCATTGTCCTTTGGCTGCCATCGTGTGGTCCGTCTGCCACAAGCTGCTCAATAATAAATGCATGAATAGATAAACTTGGACGTGGATCGGGTCGGGCAAGGAGGAGGAGTCGCAGCAGGACAGCATCTGGCAGCCTTGGCACGTCCGCCTTATACCCATAATATATTAAATATACGATAAGCACGCAGGAAAAAAAAGGCTGAAAATAGATGGAAAACTAGAGATTGCTGATCCTGGAGTGACGGAAGGACTGGCCCCTGCCTAGGACATCGGATTGTCGCTCTCGGGGATGACCAGCTCCTCCTCCCGGATCTTCTTGGGCAGCCGCTCCACCACCGGCGCTCTTCCGGAGAGCTGGAACTGGTAGTTGAAGTACTCGTACACGTACAGCTGCTTGCTGTTCACGTAGTGGAAGGCCACCGGGTACTCCGACAGGCAGTCCATGCACTGCAAAAATACGAAGATAGTTTTAAATGTAATATCAAGTGCGGACCAGGAATAGGAATGCAACACGAAAACAAAAAACACTGCCTCACGCGGTTGGAAACTAGTGGCGAATGCACCTCTACATACAACTTTTCAGGTAACGAAGAATGATTTTACATTTGACTAGATAAGATTGCTTCCAAACTCACCGATCTCACGTTGTAGTAGGCGTACGTGTACAACCAGAAGTCCAAGCCCACGTTGCCCGAGAGGAGGGCCCCAAAGGGAGCTACGGGATAGAAGCGGTTGCGCAGCTGCTCGTCCCGGGAATCACCCGCCTTCACGCCCAGGTTGAACAGGCACTTGCCCATCTCGACGTCCTCGGCGTGATCGTCCTCCTGGCGGCACTTGGAGGTGTCGTTTAGGCCCTCGGCGAAGATCCTGAGAGCCTCGCGGCTCAGCACGTAGCCACTGCCGCCGGACATGTACGACTATTGAATCGGATTCAGTGAATATGTAATGTAATCCCATTTCAGTGGCCCAACAGCGGCAGTTAACCTCACCTCGTTCTTCTGGTGTGTGCCAACCATCTTGTAATTGAACCCAAAATAAATAGGTATCTCCGGAGAATACGGGTAGAGCATGTAGCGCAGGTTTTCCAAAAAGAGGTAGCTATTGATAAGTTCAACGATAACGCCAATGCTATCTATTCTAGTTCGGTTCATAATTAAACTTGAGGCCACAATTAAACGACCCACCAGCAGTAGTTACAAGAGCCACACAAAAATGATAAAACTGTCCACACAATATATATGTATGTACATGTATGGTGACGAATAAGTGTATGGTGCCCATACACTTATCAATCCCCTGAAAATGCCACTCTTGTTCTAGACTTGAATCGAAATATTTAACATACGTGTCGTCGTCCGCCTTGATGAACCAATCCGCCTCGTTGCGCATCTGCTCGTGGATGTGGACGAAGGCCTCCTTGGTCTTGCCCCACAGCACCTCGTATCGGTCCGGCTTGGTCAGCACCACGGTGGGCAGCTCGTCGTCCGGCTCCGAGGTCATGAAGTAGATCTTATTGCAGCGTTTGCCCCAGGTTCGCATGATGTGAATGGCACGGGTCTTGTGGTATTTGGGTGTGGTGAGCACCCAGCACAGGACCCTCACCTCCCGATACAGCTTCTCGGCCAGGCTTTCGTTGCCCAGTCCGGACTCCATGCTATCAACGGAGCTAGTGCCTCTGGCCAGGGGCAGTGTGCCGGCGGTGAGCACCATCACATCCCAATAGGCATAGAGCACGATCAGCGTGCTGCTCAACAGCAGGAGGAGCAGGACCAGGCGATTGGTGGAGATCCGCTGGCCGGAGCGGTAGTACTTGCCGCTCGCGAACCCATTGGAATTATAGTGGAAGCCCGGGTATGTGGACGGGTTCTCCAGTGTGATGCATTCCCCGGCCATTAAATCACTGACTTGCCAAGTCGAAAGCTAATGCCAAGCTACTGTGCTTTTATCGCAGCGAAACTGCGGCCCAGATAAGATAAAGTGGCCATCAGAGTTAGCACTTTGGCCGGGAAGATCGTCGTGCAAGTGCACTCAATTAGTGAAATGACTAGACGGGAGAGAATGGTGCACGAGATGGGGTAAGAGTGAGTGATAAAAAAAGTGGTACCTGAAAAAGTGATCCACTAATTGCCATAGTTTCCGCATGATTAGAAATATTTATGTAAATAAACATAAATAACTGTATATACATGGCAACAGTGCACATTTGTGAACATCAAACGCAAAACCCGAAAACAGAGGAAGTGCTGAGAATCTTTAAATCAATCATCAGCGACATGTGGTCGTTGCTAGACGCTTTTCAGGGTTTTCAGGGGCGTAGTCAAGGGCAGCTAAGGGGTGGGCGTGGCACGGTGGCACGGTGGCAAGGAACGCCAGCAGCGCCAAAGAAATAATATTCGATGCATGCAAACAAATGGCTGCCATAATAGCGACGAGGACGCATTCTACACCGCTGCCCCAATCCATCCAATCCGCCCATTAATAAAATAAAATGCTGGCGGTCAGGAGGAGCGGCTAACAGTGAAAACTATTTGGCGTTGTGGGCGTGTGGGCGTGTGGCCCCGCTGCGATTTGCCAGCCACCAGGAAGCGGAAACAGTTTCCATTGCCCAAACAAATACAAATTTTTCCAATAAAAACGGCGGCTTTCCTAGCGCATTTTTTCTCTTCGAATGTCAAAATTAGTTTTGGCCAGGGCAAACAGTTCGACACGAAATGCAAATAGGAGTGGGTGCAAAGTGCGCCTGATGAATGCCTTTGACCTTTCGATGACGTGACCCACATGGGCGGGTGGGTTTGCTGGCCATGGAGAACTGCATTACTTTGCCGGCACCATTTACTTGAAATGTATGTAAGGAGCCCTCAACGCGTTTTGCCATTGTTTAACATGGGTTCAACTACTTTGCCCTCCAACTTCGCTGGCAATTAAAGAGACAAAGGAAGCTGGATCCTGGATCCTGGATCCTGTCTCCTGACCTATCCTCCGCCCTCTTCCACTCACAATCAACAGATCCTTTCCATCTGCTTCCCGCAGTCTCGACACAATGAAAATTCAGCCAACCAGGCGGTCGGTCGGTCAACTGCAAACTGGGCAAATCACAAAAATCAACCAAAGGCAAATGTATAACTGCAGATTTTTTGTAATAATGTTAGCTTTTGGATTTCACAAGCGCGCCAAGGCAAACGCCATTTGTCTCGCAGCCTGCATGTACTTCGCCCCGTCTCATTCGCTCCCTCTCTTCCCATCTCTTTCATTCGTTCCATCTTTTTGTTCTCTTGCTCACTCCGTATGTAAATATGAGCATGTGTGTGCTTGAGCAGCACTGTTTGCCATAGAGATGGCGGCGTGAAAAGATACATAGTCCATAAGTTGCAGTGTTCTGAACAACTTAAGGAACGTTTAGTTGTAGAAACAGAATACTACAAACAGTATAAACGATGCATCCGCAGCACAAAATCGAGCTTTACAACATGAATTAGTAAAAGTGAATGAAAATGATAAACGCTCAAACATATCTAATATGTTATACAATCACGATCGCTCCTTTTCTTCCTCACTGACACCACACCAATGCATCTGCCGCGCTACACACACACACACACACACACTGAATAACACACACACGTAGTGAGACATCAAACGTGCAAACATTTGCCATATTTTTGTAATCAAAGTAAACAATCCACTTAACCCAACACGGACATGCAAAACGACTGGCAGCTGGCTATGCACCCGTCCCACTCTGGCCCTCTACCCATCTCACTTACGCCACAGGGAAAAGTCTTTCGCAATTTCGCTTCGATTTTTTCTCTTTTTTTGGTGGGTTTGGAGGCCAACGACACTAGTGCAGCACTCCACCCACTTAACCCACTCAACTTGGTGGCTCGGGAACCCCACACAAATATTTTGTACTATTCAAGAATTGGACTGAATGGGGAAAAACTAATAAGCACTATTATTATTCATAGTGTTTGATGAATTGAATAAATCTTTATGCCATCTGAGCAAATGCTATTTAAGCAAATTATATTATATTAGACAAAGTTTAGGTGGATATGGGCAAATCATATCACATATCACAGAATATGTTGCTTATACCATTTTTATAGCCTAATATATATTTAGATTAGTTCAGGAAACACATTTTCCTATGACGAACTGCACGAAAATGCAAATACATTAAAAACATTTAATATTTTGTGGAATAGTGTTATTTTGAAGATGATTTTCTCTTGTGCACCCACTGTTCGTTCATACAAGTATATCGCTGCCGGCATCCGTTTGTTGCTATTGTCACTACTGAATTCCAGCATTTTTTTGGCCCCACATTCCACTGGGTTGGAGCGAGGAGGAGCCGACTCCTGGGCACGTGATGCCTTTCGATGTCTTGGCTCGTTTTTTATGCAAACAGCATTTGAATTTGAAATGAAAACGCTGACGGGCGCCGCCAATGCCAATGCACATGGAACTGGGACTCGGATCCGGTAGCAGGGACTTGGGAACCTGGGCGCTGGGAGCTGGGAGCTGGGACCTGCGAACTACGAACTGCCCGGATCCGGGAGCTGGTCCTCGTCCTGCAGCTAAAAGTGAAGGCCTTCAGTGCGGGGGGAGCCAATGGCATTGCATACTCCTCAGCGCCGTGCGGTTACTTTTAGCTCACTGATATGACAACGGTCCACCCCAAACATACATAACGCAGCAGGGTGGCTCATTTCGTGCGGCAGATTTAGAAGCGACTACCCTTTTCCTATCTATGTGTGCATTTAAAATGATTTAAGCATTGTCACACTGTGTGCAGCAATATTGTAGCCGTTTATTTTTTTTTTTTTTATTATTATAAAGCGACGAAAACGTACATGCAATTGTTGCAATGCCAGAGATTACAAATTACATTTCGCGGCATACTTGTAGGCACTTCTTCGGCCAAAAGGGTGACTAAAGGCCATATACTCGTATATAGCACATTTTTAATTGATTTTGCATATATTTTCAATCAGTTGCGACGCATTGAGCCACCCTTCCGTGGGCGCATTGTGTCCATTGGCATTTTGCTGGCAAACACAAAAGTCATGGCCGGAGAAAGGGGTTCCAAGGGGGTGGGGGATTGGGGGTTGGGGGTTGCGCAAATAGTTTTTACTGCACACAAACACAAAACGCAATGACAAAGAGGGCATAAAAAGCAGCGCCGCCAACTTTGTTATTACATTTTTATACCGGCCACACACACACACACACACACACACACTCACACGTGTGCAAACCGTTTTTATTGGCATAAAGAAGCAAGTGGAACACCTGTTCCAAGCTCCACCGACATCCCGCTGTCGCGGATACATTTGCATTTGCATTATTTCCCTGTTTGCTCAGCAACCCCATTCCCCATTTCTCCCCATTTTCCCCCACTTTGGACCAGACTTTTATTATTTTTGGTTAGTTTTGCTGCATTACAAAATGTGTTGACATGTTATGATTTCGATTTTAATTTCAGCAGCTGCAGGCGGTACAAAAGGATATTCAGGTTGCGGATGTTGGCGCACCAAACATTTGCCAAAGTCAAGAATCGGAACTGAAGCCGGAGCTCAGCTGGGATTTGAAAAATATTGGAGCTCGGTTCAGGTGAAATGCTCTTCAAAAAGGATTGCTAAGCTTGATAGGGCTATGATTTAACAAAAATGAATAATTAATCCATGGAATACCAGGTGTGGGTCACCGAATTCCTATAATGGCTTTTCTTTCACTTCCTGTATTGCACATTAGGTGCCGTATTTATACCCCTTACTCGTAGAGTAAAGAGGGTATACTATATTCGTTGAAAGGTATGTAACAGGCAGAAGGTAGCGTCTCCGACCATATAAAGTATTTATAGTCTTGATCAGGATCAATAGCCGCGTCGATCTGGCCATGTCCGTATGTCCGTATGAATGCCTCGTCCCAAGGCTGAAGTTCTTGAATATCTTGTAAATTTCTAGAGATTTAAAAAAACTTTTTGGCACTGTCACGCCCACACTTTTGAAAAATTTGATATATAAAGCCTCTAAAGCCCACAAACCGCGCAAAACTCTTTTTAAAATTTGTTTTTCATTTTATTATTTTTTTTTCCCACTTTTGAACGATATTTCAGAAAATTTTTTGCAAATTGTTTGCAATTCCACTAGCTGAGTAACGGGTATCTGGTAGTCGGGGAACTCGACTATAGCATTCTTGTTTTGTTATTATCTCAGCAGCGGCCATCAATTTTTCCGGCACTTTGGCTCGCCTCGTTAAATTGGTTTTCTGGAGCTTAGAATATTATGATTACCCATCAAAAGGCTTAGAGCTCGACATTATCGGTAACAAGTACGCAAACATATCGATTACAGGAGCCGATGGGGGGATGTTTGTTCCACAGACAAAAGGACTCGGTAAACAACTCAACGCAAGGATATGCCAGCTGCATTGGCTTCTCGATTACTTATATATTATTTTTACTAGTATCTTGTAGATGCGCCGAGCTTAGTTTGCCTGGAAGTTCACTTAGCGTACTGATTTCATTGTATGTATTCTGCTCTCGACGTCCTTAGACAATAATTACGAGTGGGATTACATATCACATGCATTATCCTTTTCTGCCGGAAATCCTGCATTTTCGTCGCTTCAGCTTCTTTCATTCGCTTACAAGAGTTTAGTAATTTCTGATGATTCCTGGACGAATTTGTTTACTACTGACGAATTTAACACCTTCTGTGTCTTGCAGATACCGCTCGGTGAGTAATCTTTAAGCTGGTCCCTCTGTCATTTGTCAGCTGGTTGCCTTGGCTTTTAATTAAATATGTTGCCAGGATTTCAGCCACATGCTCGGGAGCTGGCTCACAAGTGTCTGAAGACTGTGACAGGACATTGACATAGTTGGTCCTCCTCCACTCCACTCCAATCC